AGGATAGATACGAAGTGTCCGCCGGAGAGGATATCTGCGTCTCGGTTAGAAATAGCAACTTTTTTAGTTGTCCCCTTGGGCAGGGGACTGGTGTCCAAACTAGAGTCGCGCCCTGTGTGGATGGCCCCCGCCCCACAGACCAATAATAATACATATAAAACCAAAAATAATAAAAGAACTTAATTAACTAAAATTAAAAACAAAACATATTAGTATAGAAGTATAGATATAGATGAAAAAATTTAAATGGATGGATGTTTTTAGAAGCTATCTTTAGAACGACCCAACAGATCTCGCTGAATTTTACAACAGATGTTGCCATAATCTGAAAAAACTATTCTAACCAACTTTTTTTCGTAAAGCATTTCAAAGAAATGTTTAATCTCTGGCAAAATTGGTACAAAAATTGACATCATTGCATTCTAGAATTTAAAAAAATGACATCTCGTAACAATAACATATTTTATCATGGATATTTAAACAATTGAACCTCGACATCTAACTATATATTCAACATAATTCCACAAATCTATTCCTATTTCACAAACAGATTCAATCTTGTTTACAGTATCAAATCAATCCGACCCTAGTGTCCCCGCTTAATCCTCTATACGTGATTCACTACCGGACAGAATAGACTAATAAATAGGCATTGTCCTAACTCTATTATTGATTGAATATAAACGTGAAGCTTAGGATTTAGGTAACAAACAAAACTGTTCTTATTTAACACTGTCAGTGCGATTTAGAAAAGGAACAACGCCATCTGTTAACCGTCACTTAATTTTATAAACCTCAAATTTAATAACGTTTTTCTGCACTAATGGAAGTTAAATATCAATACTTGCTCAAATACATCCTAGCTAGTGCTAAGCATTTTAGTAAATATACATCAAAGTATTTGTAAAGTACTCTAGGCGGATACAGTCGCGGGCAACAGCTAGTATCGGACGCAAAGAACACCGACGATATTATACGGGAGATCTTCCTCTTGAATCATTCTATCTATTAAAATAACTGCATCAAAATTCGTTGCATACTTTTAAAGATCTAAGCATATATTTGGTCAGACAGACAGAGGGAAGCGACTTTGTTTTATACCATTAAGTGAAGATATATGAGAAGATCTAGGTTCACTTCAATATAATATAAAAGATATACAATATGTCTGAACCGCAGATGCAAATGGAACTTGCATTTCAACATAACTCTCTTGAATGAAGTATAAAATATTCAGCCAATTGTCCTAGACGTCTGAAAAATATACAAAATAAATTAAATACGTGACGAGACGAGAGTCTTATATCCCTGTAGCTTAGAAAGTTTCAATTTGAAAATTAACTTTTTAAATCCGTCGTAAAAATATCTATTAAAACTAAAAGGCGGCAAAAATACAGATTAAAATTCGTAAAGAACTTAGTCTCGTAGATCAATTATGATTATCTTTTTTAAATTCCTTTAAAAGCTTTGGCTGCTTGCTCGTTTGCCACCTTGAAATATATATAAAAAAATACACCTACGTAATACAGTTCCCTTGAGTCGAAAGCGAAGCAAAACTAAATTTATAATTTAACTCAATAAGGAAGGAAGTAAGTTCGCTTCCCTTTATAATATTTAGTTGGAAATTGAATGATGTTCGATTTCCTCAAACGCCTTCACGATGTAACCTAAAATTGTTTTCATTGAAATAAAACAAACGTACTTGGATGAATACATCCACTTGTTTCCCTTGATACATGTAGCAATCTTACATCTTACTCTTACTAATGTTATAAATGCGAAAGTTTAGATGGGTGTTTGTTAGAGTTTGTAGCCTAAACTGCTGAACGGATCTAGATGTAGCATAATTGTAAAGCATAGACGGGAACACATAGGCCATTTACTTTTGTTTTTTTTTTAATTCCACGCGGACGGAATCGCGGGCGAAAGCTAGTAAATAATATGGAATAAGTGTTACCTACGCAGACTAATATGTCATCAGTCAATCTGACTATCACCCTCATATGTAGTTCCATGAAGTAAGATAAATTGAACTTCGGAATACAACCGAATAATTTCATACTGAATTATTCATATAATATCCTTTTTCTATTAATGATTAATCGCCCCACTGTAGTACTATAACGAAGTGCCATTAACGTTATTACAAAGAATATTTTCCGACAGACGCGCAACGTTGTTGTTATTCAGATATTGTTCGAAACGCATTAATACAAAAAGCTATTATCACCCAATATCTCTTTGGTACAAGCCTTTGGCTGTTTTCCAAATTAATAGAGTTGAAACACTGCAGCGAAATAATGTAAACTATCATATCTATACAACAATGTGTAATCTTCGTTGTTTTGTATGATCATTATCAGTTGTTTATTTTTTAAATCGCAGTGGTAGATATGCTATATAGTGATATCTAGCATGACATGATTGCAATGTGAAAAGGCAACTGTTAGTTATTTTCACAAATGACTTCCTGTAATATTTAGACGGACGGCCATATTAACAATACTTGTAAATTACTTTAAAACAGACGAACTGAACTCTAATGCGACAACGCAAATATATCGAACTTTCCGTTGTGAAGACTAGTAAAACACAGAGCTTGTTGACGACTGAACGCCGAGACTGCAACTGAGCCCGAGCCATGCCATATATTTTATATAACTACCCCCCCACTATTCCTTCCGTTTCCTAATATATTCCTAACAATAATGTTGTTTTAGATAAAGATAAACGTATTGATAAATAGCACAGATTAACAAATAACTTTTAAGAATACAGAATGCATCAAAAATAGTTAAAAAGCTAACACAACGGAGATATTACTAGAACCACGCTAAAAGAAGTCCGAAATCTCTGCCTACCCTTCTGGAATACGACGTGAGTTGTATCGTTGTTAATCGTACCTATTGCCTATCCTTTTCCTTGGTCGAATTGCAGTGTTAGAAGAGTAATAATTTCTCCCAAATTTCCGGAAAAAAAACGTTCATCAGTGTAAAGACCAATTCTTTATAATAGTTTAAATAATTTTAGTTATTATAAATAATTACTTCTGAAATAGTTACTTCTTGTCATACATAGTAGATACAGTTAAAATTAATAATGCATAATTAGAACAGGACTAATTTTAATGTTTTTTTTTAACTACCAATCAAATTAATTTTCGGTCGTCTAATATGGGACAATTTTGTAATTCATGGGATAACACTAATTTGACGTATTGACGTTCGATTACGACATTTATGATTTGTCTTTGATGTAAATATTGATGACAGTTAACGTCACAACCGGTTTTGCAGTATCAGTATACAACGCTTTTTATATTAAATAGTATACAACGAAACATCATACTACTTAATATAAACCTGATTAACGAATACTAATTTAAATAACTGTGCTGCGTCATGTCACATTAGGTTATATTTACATTCAGATAAGTATTTGATTTTGCTAGTGTCGTGTTTTTCTTAACGCCTTATAATGTTTAGGTCAAGGCATTTACTTAACGCAGCTGTTAAGAAGCAGACCGAAAGTGCAGTGGCAATTACAAATAATATTTTAAGAATTAAATTGAATACTTCTGCTGCAGTTATGACAGACAAATTCCGACTCCCAGCCCGCTACGGTGCCGGCGAAAAAAGTGTGTGGTAAGTAAAGTGTTCACGTATTATCTTTCATAAATATTAAAGAAATCTTGAACTTTAAATTATACTTTTTTTGTCTCAATATTTATGTACAAAAGTAAAACTTTGACAGTTACATAACACTACAATATAAAAACATGAATCGTAAATATTTAAATTCTTGTCTGTATACTTATTCTAATAAAAACTATAATGTAATCGCATTAATAGTAAGCATAAGTCTTGTAGTCTAAGTTTTCAGTATACTTATTGTAATAATTGTGCAAAAAGTATTGAATAAAAAAAAATAAACAAATAAAATGGATTCAAGGGTAATGAGCCAGTTGAAAATGTTTTTTCTATATATTATTTGCAGTAAAACTCATGGCTGCCAGTGCTATCTTCTACCATACTTACTTTATCTCTACCCTTTAATCTAAGGTCACCTCAGGCCAGGGCATAATTCCTTATCTTGTAACAAAGTCTATTATTTCTATAATATCAATAATATAATACAAGACCAGAGAAATAGAAAGAAATACTAATTATTAATTGGTTATTAATTTGTTACACACTAAATATTAATTCAATGAAAGTATAATTTTCATATATAGAGATAACCTTCATGGTTCCTATGATATTTGAAATGGACTGTCAATTTTGGTTGTAAATTCTATGTGTTTAAAGCATCATATAAAATTATGTTAATTTAAACTTTGATATTGCAAAATTACCATTCATGTACACAATTGTTTAATTGCTATTTATGTAACAAATATGTATAATTTCAAATGTACAGGGTTGAATATATTCAGCTGGCAGCAGATTACAAGCCAGCGGTGAACCTTGGGCAAGGGTTTCCAGATTACCATGCACCCAAACATGTCACTAAAGCCTTGGCTGATATTGCTACAAGTGACAATCCTCTACTGATGCAATATACAAGAGGATTTGTGAGTAATACTTGATCATTTAGATAGTCTTGCAAACTTTTTTGGCCCCATAAGTTACAGCAGTTAGTTCAGTCAGAAATAATCATAGATACAAAAAAACACAACACTAATAGCTAGGTCAAACAAGTTTGTCATACTATGAATAAGAAAAAAAGAAAGTAAAATATAACATACAAGGATACAATAAACACTAGAAGCACAAGCTTAACAAAAACTTAGTCCGGAACAACATAAGTAACTTTAGTATAGAGACATAAACTTTATACTTATTTATTTTTCCAGGGACATCCGAGATTGGTTCAGAACTTATCTAAAGTTTATTCTCCATTAATAGGCAGAGAATTAGATCCATTCAATGAGATTCTTGTCACCAGTGGTGCTTATGAAGCTCTTTACTCAGCTATATTGGGTAAGGTAATATTTAAATTCAATTAAAAAACACAGTAAACATTTAGTGTAAAATCAAGTATTTTGAACTGACATAGAATTCAATATTTTACAAATATAATAAAGAAGAAAAATATTTTTTCAGATTTCATGGTTTCAAAACATTCTCTGACATACTCAGAATGTCTTGTATTTATTTCATTATAGTCAGTCTAGTGGTTTAGGAACACATTGGGTACAAACATGTGAACATTTTTTTATATATGTTGAAATTAATTTATTCCAGGCCATGTAGATACTGGTGATGAAGTTATTGTGATAGAACCATTCTTTGATTGCTATGATTTTATGATAAAATGTGCTGGAGGGATTCCCAAATTCATTGCCCTGAAACCAGTAAGTTTTTTTATTATCTTTTTAATTTCTCAAAGACATTATTTGAATGACAAGATAAGTAATCTAATTTAAGTTCATGTAATAACCTATTTTATAATAGAACCTTTCAAATGTTTTTTTAATGTTTAAATATTTTTTTTTCTCTTAATATACATTATATTTCCATATATCTTTATTTCTTATTTTCTATACAATACATTTTACATTACATTTGATATAAAAATAAAATAAAATAAATTATATAAAAAATAGAGCACCACCGGCTGCGAAATCCGATGACTCAAGCAACCAGTAGTCAGGGCTATAATATACATTATATTTAATTGTTATGTACTAAAAAAAATAGTCAAGATTGTTGTTTATTTCTTTTATGAATATATTGCCAGCAATGTATATAATCTTATCAATTCAAGACTTATGTTTCATGGTTATATAATGTTTGCACTGATAACAGTTTCATATACTGTGGCAATTCAGTATTTCACTATTTTATTATATTTATCTAAAACATTTAAATACTTCCATAATAATTACAGACAGAGATGAAAATGACAATTTTATCTCCATATTTAAAACTTAAATTTGTAAAGCCTACACACCTTCAGAGATTGATGTGATTGATGTCTCTGTTTTTGTCTCAACACATGTGTTGAAACAAATGTTGCAGTCAAAACCTAGTTATAAATACACAAATAGTATACACTTCCCAATGACTCCTTACCGTTAACAGTAAACATGTCTCACTCTCAAATTGCTCAGTACCTTTAGTGACATGTGACGTCATACGGTCAATGGGCGTCACCAGCATTTTGATCTAAAGGGGGTAATCAAAGGGATCTAGTATTTTTTCCAAAGAGAATGCTTATCAATTCTTGACATTTTTATATATGTGGGTCTATACAAATTGAAAGAATTTTTTTTACTTAATCCTTTATGTATCTTAAAATTTTCGATTCTCTAGATTAGGGGGGCTTCCCTCCCTGGTTCATAATGCGGTCATCAGCAAAGCTTCTGTGCAAGAGTAATATTAAATGTATGAATTACCTTTAATAAACAATACGGTTTACAGAAAACGAACAAGGAAAATATGACGTCAGCAGATTGGGTACTTGATGAGAAAGAACTCAGTTCCCTGTTCACAAATAAGACTAAAATGTTAATACTGAACACTCCGCACAATCCCTTAGGTAAAGTGTTTACAAAGGAGGAACTCGAACTCATTGCAAATCTATGCAAGAAACACAATGTTCTATGTGTATCCGATGAAGTCTATGAATGGATGGTATATGAACCTAACAAGCATATTAGAATTGGTAAGATTTTATATAATAAATCTATACTTTTTATATTGTTCGGAAATAATTTTAATTCTCTATGTTACTGGCAAACTTCAAAACTACTATGCTATTTACAAAAATTCTTTCATCATTTGATAGCTATGTTATCTCTGAGTAACATTGTTTATACTTTTTTAAAGTTTTTTTAATCTGCATCAAAAAGGTCTTAATCATAAACTTTAAATGTTGATTAAATTGTTCTGAATTGTCAAATTTCTGCATGTTTAGCTGGCCTATAATCCATTAAAGTCTAGAATGTAAAGTCTGTCTGAATCTAGATTTTATTTCCAGCAACACTGCCAGATATGTGGGAAAGGACGATTACTATTGGGTCTGCGGGCAAGACATTTTCAGTGACGGGCTGGAAGATCGGCTGGGCGTACTGCCCTGCTAACCTCATGAGGAACCTGCAAGTTGTGCACCAGAACTGTGTGTATACCTGCCCTACGCCTACACAGGTGAGTTAGGCATCTCGCACACTAGGAAATGTAATCGAAATCCGCTGATTTTAGTTGCTAAAGCTACTCGTTCTAATAAATCGAACGTGCAGCAAAACTGTGAATTAAACAGTTCAACAAAATGGGTTTTAGATTAATCTGATCGATTGGGATGCCTAGATAAAACTGTGTGTAGCAGGCCTAAGTTACTTTGCGTCGTAATTTTTAGCCTTCACTTAAAGGTTTTATCAAAATGATCGTGAGAAAAGGCGTGATTGTCAAGATGGCCGTCGTAATGTAGTTTTTTTTTATAAAAAGTATGTATTTCCTTTGTTTAAATAAATAAAGTGTAAAAAAAAATTGATAACGAATCAGTTTTTTTTTTGTTTTAAAACTTTGTCTTGTGTATAGCCTAAACAGCAATTTTAAAATGTGACATCATTCAAATATATTATAGGTAATGTTACTGGTAATACATATTGAACATGTATTTTTTGTAGTCTGTGCAATGTTAGTAATTTAAGACTTTTGTAACATGGCAACACTTTCATATTAATTCACTTTTTTCCAACGTTGCTTCTTGTCTAAACTTAAAAATGTGACTGTATCTAACTTTTCACGGTATTAAATTTCATTATTAGCAAATAAATATCTAAAATATAAAACTGCTTTCGTTTAATGAACAGGTAACATTATGATTTTTTGAGTTTTTTCTAATCAAATTGTGTTTTTATTATCAGGAAGCGGTAGCACGTTCGTTTGAAATAGAATTATCACGTATCAATTCTCCGGAATGCTATTTCTACTCTCTGGCTCGCGAACTGCTGCCCAAGAGGGACTTCCTCGTCAGGACCCTCAAGGAGAACGGCTTCAACCCCACCATACCCGATGGAGGATACTTCATTGTTGCTGATTGGACCAACCTAGGTATTAGATAAATGTCTAAAATAAGCCCTGCGCCTCTTTATGTCTAAGCCTAGTTTTATGTCCTACGTAAAGATTTTTAGAGCCAAAAATGTATTTGAAAACTTCAATACTTTTATTTAAAGATATTTAGCCACTTAATGAACTCTTAATCAAATATGAGTTTTTTTATATAAAAGTAAATAATTAAACTAGTGATGATTTTTACGATTCTGTTTTTTAAGAGGGGGACTTTTATCCTGAGGTTGGTACTGTTTACGATTTACCAACAAATAAACAAAAAGCAATTTTACAGTAATTTCAAATGAGAATAAATTAACATTTAAGAGTTACAAGACTGAACCTTTGAAGCATTTCTGAATTCCCCCCCCCCCTCTGCTATAAAAGTAATTAGCAAACTATTAATTTAAAAAAAATAACCTTAAAAAATCATCAGTGTGATCTCAGTAAGAAACGCAGGAATTTATTGTTTTTGTATATTCCAGGTAAAAAAATCGATTTATCTAGTGAACAGGATAAATACAAAGATTATAGGTTCACAAAGAAGTTTGCGAAGGAGGCGGGCGTGCTGGCCATCCCGCCCAGCGCGTTCTACTCGGAACAACACAAGACGCTGGGAGAGGACTTCGCCAGGTTCTGCTTTATTAAGGTAACTAGCTTTAGCCCGCGACTCCATCCGTGGTATTAAAAAAAATGTGTTCTTCCCGACTATCCTCTACATCTATGCCAAATTTCATCCGTTCAACCTTTTAAGCTACAAACTCTAACAAACATTCATCATCCATTCATCTAAATTTTCACATTTATAATATTAGGAAGGTTAGCTATTTTTTTTATTTCTACTAAAAAAATGTAGCAATAACATTTTGTTGTTAATTATATCGCTTTGAGTAAAAATTCTGTTTTAATTAAAAGTATGGAATTTGTAAAAATCTTACCTAATTTAAAGCAAAAATTGTAAATATCTATATTTTTTTTAAAGTTGAAAAAATATGCAAAATGTAATGAAAATGTGTAATAAATTAATATAATTTAATTCAATTTTTATCAACAGAAAGATGAAAATCTGGCCCTGACGGAAAAACTGCTTAAGACTTGGAACGCATCGAAGTAAACTAATTAAGAAAAAAAATGTATGAATTGTAATATTTTGTAAAAAAACTATAACCATTTTGAAATATATATTTTGTTACTGAAGTCTTTTTTAACTTCCTTTTAATGTGAGAATTAAAATAAAACAAAAGCTTATAAAAAAATCATTTATTATACCGATTTTTATAATTCATTTTATTATAAAAATCAGTTACATTTATATTTGTCATAAAAATGACAAAAAAACAGATCCTTGTTATTTCATTATCCAACACTTGTAGCCGAATTGGTTTTCCAAAAAAATCAATATTAAAATTGTACGAAATAAAAAGGATCTTATCAAAAAAGTTGGTAAAAATGCTAAAAATATTACATAAGCGACATTTTCACGGTTTAAAATCCCCGCGCAACCATCGCTTCGCGTCTCGCGTGTCATTGCCATATGTTTTACCAAATCTGAAAAAAAAAGTATAAACACGACATGAAATAATATAAATAAATGTGATCTACCAATATTATAACATTGGATTAAAATTCATTTAACAAAAACCAAAAAGTTGCGAAATAATTGAAAATTCTACCAAAGCAAATATATAAACTAATGTAACAACAAGGATTTTTTGTGCATGGACTAAAAAAAACATGTTTTACAGTCCAAAATTATATAGAAATACCTGAAAATACAGCCGGGCACATGTCCTGCGTAGTTTGGCAACATACCGACGTGCTTGTGGTAGATTTCAGTAGGATTGATCGATAGGGGAGGGTCGGGTCTGGAAAAATCATACAAATGTAAAAAATCTTTGAAGCAATTAATAGAAGAAGCAAAGAAAATAATAATGTATAATAGAGAGTAAATATTTAAAAAAAAATCTTTACCAAGAATAACAAACTCCCAATTTTTTCGCCAATCATTCAAATTAACCTTGTGAAAAATAAGCAAAAATAAAAAAATATATATTGTAAAATATCTTTATTTATATAAGCATTTTGACCATATAAGGTCCTTCTAGATGATATCCAATCTTGGCATAATAATTCCTGGTGCCGACGCCGGAGATGACGGCCATCTTGTCGGAGGCGTGCTCCTCGCGCGCGATCCTCTCCGCCTCCTCCATCAGCAGCATACCGAAACCTTGATGTTGGAATTTAGTCGGATCACGAGCATTTACCTGGAAAAAGAAAAATACAATTAAAAAAAAATTAAGGGCTTTGACGTTATAAGAACATAATATCAAAGTTTCTATTAAAATCTACCTACAGGTTAGGAATCCACCTCTTGGGGAAATACAAAAATGTTTATTTTACATAGATTAAGTATAAGAGACATTTCCAACTTTCGTTACACTAAAAGAAATTAAAAAACTGCTGTGTAGTTTTTTTTAATTTTGAAAGTGGGACCAAATAGCAACAATTCAACAAAAAAAACTCCATTCTGAAGTCAATTTAAAAGTGAAAAAAAAAACATAAAAAACTCACCGGGACAACAGAACCATAAACATGCAATTCCCTCACAATACTGCACTGTTTGAAGTTAGCATTAGGTCCGGGTTTCAACTCTGGCCGGTATGTATCAGCAGCACACTTCCTGAGCCGCAGCAGACCAACCAGGATATCCTGGTCCGGGTCCTCATAGGAGAGGAATGTCTCCCAGCCACCATTGGCTACATAATCACGACGTATTAGTTCCACCTAGAATGAGATATAGAATATAATCACTTTTGGAACGTAAATAGAGTCACTATTAATTGTAAAGCAAAATCTCACAAATATTACTAAAGGAAAGCTTTGTACTTTTATATGTATTGTAATAACTCAAAAACTATTAGTCCGATTTCAAAAATTCTTTCACCAATAAAGAGCTACATTATCACTGTACAAGTAAAAAAATGAAATCAAAAACTAGTATACAAAATTAAAAAAATCCTCTGGCATTAGAATATTACATAATCACTATGTGGACTTATTCACAATTAGAATTTAATTTAAATCGCGCATATGCGGAGTAGCGGGCAAAAGTTAGTTATAAATCCTTATCCTTATCATATAGTTTACCCAGAAAATTAAAAACCAAGTAACTAACACAATTTCAACAAAAAAACAAGCAACATTTTTACAGTTAACAACAAAAAAAAAATTAAACATTTACCTCGTACGGTCTCACTTTATTGTGAATCTCCTGTATTCCAACCTCTCGGGTACGTACATCTCTGCAGTCCGTACCCAAGTCTGCCATACGGGCTAGCGCTAGTTCCCTTAAATTGCCATGCTCTACCCCAGATGACACTAATGGCATTGGTATATCACGTTGTACTCTGTCATAAATTTAAATAAAAAGTATTAATTCATCATCATCATCAACTTGCCCTTATCCCTTACGGAGGGTCGGCACAGTAAGTGCTGCTCTTCCATACATCTCTATCAGCCGTCATATCTGAATCCACTCCTTTCTTAAGCATATCCTCTTTCACACAATCCATCCATACTTTCTTCGCTTTTCCTCTTCCGCTACACTCACCCAGTTTTATCTAAAGAATGTTTGTAGTTAGCTAATTGCCTCATATTGTTATTGATTTTATATTTACCTGTAAACTCTAGTCCATGGTGGCACCAGAGCTAATATTTTAGCAATCAAATCAACCAAAGTTGACGGTGGATAACTCCTGTATCTCCCCGTCTTCCATAACTCATATAATCCAGTTCCTCTTATGACTAAAGTTGGATAGATCTTCAAGCCATCAGCTCTAAATGCGGGGTTCTCAAAGAACTCAATAAACTGTTCCACGTCACGTTCGAAGTCAACGTTAGGCAAATCTGGCATCATATGGGCGACAATCTGGAATTTAAAAAAAACTATCGAAATACATTTTAAGATAATTAAAAAGTTATAAACTATATAAGCTGTGAAAATTTAAAGTATTCTTAATGTATAAGTAAACTAGCTTGCAACTGGTAATCTTTGAGTGCAAGTTAAAAAAAAATTGAGATAGAAAGTGCATCTATCTAAACTTTCGCATAATTTTTAGTAAGATATACAAATTACACAAAGCTCGATTCCAAATTAATCACCTTATAACCAGCATCTTTAGCCAAGTTGAAGTTTTCACAGACAGCTTTGACTGTGTGACCCCTGTTTGTGTCTCGAGCAATATCCTCATATACTGACTGCACACCAATTTCCAATCTGTAAAATTTAAGCCTAATATTAAACACTACATAAGAAAAATGGCTGTAGGCTTTTATTCCACTACTAAACTTGTGGTAAAGAGTATACTTTAATCCAACGAAATGAAAAGCGACCGCTGCCCATAAATATCCGCAATTGCCGATGCATTGCCTACCCTTAATTGACGGAAGAGGAGACACACATAAAGGGGATATTTCCCCTTCCTATGCGTCTCCTCCATCGTCAAATCCACTTTTCCTTCCCATCCTTTCGTCTTAAGAAAAGGGTGTAAAGGGAAAGGGACTAAAATTAGGCCTCCGGCACCACACTCATCAGACGAAACGCAGAATTGCTTCCACTTCACGCCTGTTTTCTGTGTAGTTGTGGTATTACACCAGGTGAGCAGGCCCATTCATGCGAAGATGTTAAAGCGGGCTCTACCACTGTTAAAAGACAATTGTTTAACCTTACCTAGTGCATCCATAGTTCAGCATATCACTCATATGCCTCTGCAGACAGTAATCAGGTCTGGTCTCTATAGTAATACCAATACACTTGGTCTTTGCCTTCTCCGAGTACTTTACTGCTTCCGACACACTACCAGATGTATGTCCAGACAGCGCATCATGTAGGTTCCTATAACATTCACACACTGAGCACACATTTAAATTATGTAATTCAAAGCACTTATACAATATGAACAAGAATCTTAAATACTTACCTTATAAAATAGTCTCTATAATCCTCTGGCAAACTCATAAAAGTGCCTCCCATCACAATAAACTCAACTTTATCCACACTGTGTCCTAATTGCTTCAACTGTTCCACTCTATGCCGAGTTTGTAAATAAGGGTTGTACCTAGCTCTAATCGCTCTCATAGAAGTTGGCTCATAACCAGTATAACTCTGAGTGGAATATTCAAAATCCGAATCAGGGCCACCGGGACAGTATACACAAATGTTCCCAGTGAAGTTTATATGCGGACATCTGTGCGGTTTACACATCACAGCTACGACTGCAATCCCAGACGCAGTTCGTATCGGTTTAGCTTTCAATTTTGGTAAAAGTATACTTTTAGCATCAGCTGGTACCGCAGCTATTATATCTACAAGTCTAGGCGATGTTCCTAATCCGTATTTAGACGAAATTCTCGTCTTCATCTTGTTGAGGTTAACATCTTTTCCCTGACGATGCGCTATTAGTAATTCTTGTATAATCTCTGATATCACTATCACCATTTTTTCTTCTTTGGAAAGATTCGGATGTGGTTTCTTTTTAGTCATTTTAATTATATTTTGAAGAACAATTACAAATGAAAATATACGGCTTTATAATAAACGTAATAAATAATGCGAATTGCGATACGATAGCAAATGTGTTTAATTTTGACATCCGCTTTTTGACATTGACATTGACAGTGACAAGCACTATTTTTATGACATACCAAACAAAGGTTTGGATATCGGGAGAAATTAGGATAAAATCTTACGTGAAAATAGGTATAAAACAAGAAAAATAAAAACCGTTTTACCGTCTTTGTTAGAGGTAGCAAAGATGTAATAAACGTATTTATTAATAAACACAAAAAAAAATTAGGGTTCAACATTGTTACTAACTTGACAACATTAACAGGTGCCCATTCGGTACTTTGTCTCCTTCTGTAGTTAGAAGAGAAATCACAAAGCGCCGAATTGGTAAGTCTTTTTGATGATTCGCCAAATCGTTGAAAACCATACGGCACATGGCCAGTAAAACCTGAAACAAGGAAAAAATCAAAAATTAACCTCCTTCAACATCGAAAAGCAGCATGGGTGTAAAATACAAAGAAATCATTGATAAAGGAATGGAATAGGGAGTCTTAACTTAATAGGTACATTTACATTTACATATGGCATTTAGTTTTAGTACAATTTTTGTAGAACAAGAACACTACACCGACAACAAATACTGAATGGGTGGCCAGTTGCTAATTAGGTAAGCCTCCTATATCTATTTTATGACCTTTTAGCGCAGAGAAACCATTTTTTCTATAGCCTATTTTGTAACAATGCAGATTTCTAAAACCGAATATGGAACTTAAGTGCAAAATCGTGGTTTTACTTACGCACGGAGTCAGCGGGGTTATATCCCCATATTTGGTTGCGTACGAACGAGGAATGAAGTTTTGCATAGGACATTGAACAAAAAATTTACGAACAACTATTGAAATCAAAACGTATCAAACATATCGAAAATTATGACACTATTGGTTTTTAATTTTTTTACGCATTAAGGAGCTTCAGAAACGTCAATTTGAAAAACTCAAAAGAGTATTCGCTCAAGGTTTTATTATTTTTTCTAAAAACGTCGAAAAATACTTTTTTTGGATCGCACAAGAAAAAAAAAATAAAGCCATATATTTTAGTTAGCCTAATTATGTTTAAGAAAACAAAATTATGATGAATTAACAAGTTTCAAACCCTATTTTTAAATTTAGGGAATGCGAGAGACAGAGAGAGAGAGAGTTAAAAATACAAAGAGCTATTTAGAAATATCTGACCTTTTTTAATAT